TAAATTCTATGTTAAAATAGGTGAAACAATTGGATCGAGATTGGAATAGTGATAAACAGTGGCTGATTTTAAGTTGTTTTCGTTTACAATCATATAATTAATTATTATATATATATATATATATATATATATTGTTGTATTTTAATGTTAGAGAAATTGGAGAAAAATATTATTAATATTAAAAAATTATGATATTTTTCAGAAAATTAGATTTAAATGGTATCAGAGCCTGACCCAGCTAGAAATGCGTTGATGGGGACGTCGGGCCTCCAAGGGGGGTGGATTGTAATGACCCTGTGGGCGGATGCTACCACAGTGACGAGCTACGGGTGCACAATTCCACATCGTCTGGGAAAGGGAAAGGGAAAGGTGAAGTGCTTATATGTAAGTGTGTCACTGCAATTGGTGTGAGGTCTTTTGGGGTAAAGTCCAAAAACAAAACCTTGCGGGTTTAGGTTTTAAAGCGGACAATAGCATACCATGTGGTGGAGTGGGTCCTTACATGAAGGTTAATTATGAAAGTCTTGTGGAGAATGAAAAGGCTTACAACACAAATGAAGTTGAAGAAATTGAAGATTCAAAGTTGAATACCAAAGTAAAATGGTGAATAAGGAAGAGATAAAGAAAGGTGTTGAAGAAGAGATTGAAAAAGTGGAAGAGATTGAAGTGGAAAGAGAAATTAAAGAAGAAGAAAGTGCTAAAGAAAAGACAAAAGTTGATGAAATTGGTGAGTTAACAGTTTCAGGTATGGTTCCAAATTCCAATTTCAAAGAAGTTATATATAACTTATTTGATAAAATTTTGATTTCTTCATATTCATCTCAATTGGAAAACGAAATCAAATATTATGATAATTGTGTTGTTGTGGAGAATGACGAAATTCTCTTAAAGATAGTTATTCCAATGAAGTATGAGATTGAAGCTCAAGATGATAAGAATTTGTCAAATTGTTTTTTAAAAAATGGTTTAGAGAATTTTGTAATTGACACAGATTGGGTGGATATGGAGTTATTTTTTTATTCCAAAAACAGAAGCACATATGAAGTTCAATAAGTATCGAAATTTCAAGAAGAAAGAAGACGGATGGAGTGCTTGTGTGAAGAAGATAAAAATTGATTATGAGAAGACATTATTCAAGCATTTGAAGATTTTTCACAAGCCATATACATCCATGAAAATGGCCAAGAAGATTGTTATAGTTGAAGGTGGTGAAACTCAAAACCAACTAATAAACTTTTGATCAAGCCCCCAAGATCAATAAGAAGTTTACTTTTAAGTTACAAAATTAAGTTTAAAGAGGGGTGTTGGAAATAAACTTGATTTTAGAATTTTAGTATTAATTAGTATTTTAAAGTATTTGGTATACATGATGCATGTGTGCATTTCATGTTAGTGGGGTAGTAAATAGTCTTGATGGTGAAGGTTATGTAAAATCAAGAGGTGTGAGAATTAAACCTCCTAAATACTATGTTAGTGGGAGTAGTGGGAGTTAAGCATAAAGGTTATATTAGTGTGAGTAATTGAGCACTTAAATGTAATTGTTACACCTATGTTCATGTGGCCTATATATTCATGTACTCTTCAAACAATAGTAAAAGTTGAATAAAATAATTTTCCAAGTATTCCTCCATATCATTCTCTTCCAAAATATTATTGAGTGTCGTGTGTATTTAGGTCATTATTTCTAACAAAGTGGTATCAGAGTAAAACCAGAAAGTGGTATTAGAGAAAAAGCCAACAATATAGAGATGTGCTCTTGCCAATTAAGTTGCATGTTGTTGGTTTCTAGAAGAACCATATAGGAAGCTTAGATATGTATTAAGATAACTCATTCATTTCAACAATTAAGTAAAAGTTCAATTATGTAAGCAAAAGTTCCATTATGACTTGAAGCAGGGCCGACCCTCAGATTGAAAAATTCTTGAGAGGCCCTAGGCGAACTTTAAAGGTGAGGCCTCTGTACATAAGTTTCACACGCGCAAATAAATAAATAAATAAATATATATATATATATATATATATATATATATATATATATATTATGAAAGTGCAAATTTTTCATTAAAGTAAATGTGATCGTCTTGCATTTTAAGTTGCAAAATTATCAATCAAATCAACTTTCTCTAACATATCTTTTTCAATAGACAAGATAACCAATCCATTCAATCTCAATAATACTTGCCTCCAATGTTCTCTATCTCTATTGATTTTTTCTTCCACACTTTTATCAATTATTGCATTTTTCTGTAATATGATTTTAATTCAATCCAATTCCGCATGTTAACAATGTGTTCACGACTAGTCTCGTGACTTTTAAATTTATCCCAAAGAATTTTCCAGTCATTCACTCCTTCATTTGCCAAATTAGTTTTTTGTTCATCACATTTAAACAACTTATAACAAAAGCAATAGACTCTGTCCAATGAACTCGAATAGATTAGCCATCTCCTATCATGTTTTTCACTGTTTGACAAGTGTCGAATGTAATATATAGAAGAGAAATGTTTATTTTTTGAATTTTTAGAAAAATTTTCAAGTTTAGCATCTCTTGGAGGACCTCTTTCGACTAATAAATCTCTCATTTTTTTTATCAATATCTTTCCAATTTCCTAGATGATTAATGTTCAAAGGAAGATTATCATTCTCATTCATATATTCTTCATTTGCCAAATCTTAAAGTTCATTCACATGTTCTTCATTTTGATTCTCTTTCCTATCTTCATTCATTAAATCTCCATGTTCATTAAGATTTTCTTCATTCCTATGTTCTTCCAACAACAAATCGTCAAGACTTCAACTAAACTCTCAGTTTGTGCATTGTTCCTAAAAAAACTTATGAATAGTGCCATTTTGAGATTCAAATTTTTTTTTTTTTTTTTTTTTTTTTTTTTTTTTTTTTTCATACCCAGATTTAAATTTTCTTGTAGACAAAAATCTTGCAATCTTAGAAATCTAAATGACAGGAAACACAATCAACGTAAAACTAAACTTAAAAAAAAAAAATACTTTGCTGAAAGAAAATATAGATTGCCTCAATCTCAATGGCTCAATATGCAATCATATGATTTACAGAAAAATAAAAATACCTCATGAGCAGTCTAAATGATAAGTCCTCAACTCCCTGTATTACAACAAATTCATTTATCAAACAATAATTCCATTATTTCCATAAGAACAATTGATATAGATTTAAGTTCATCAAAATAATTTTTTGGTTTAAGATTTAATTTAAGTTCATCAAAATAACTACTTGAAGACTTGAATTAGAGTTAGAACTTAGATGTAGAAAAGAAAACTTACAGTGTTGTTGCCATTAATTGAGTCTGTTGATAGGGATCGATGATGCAGATGCAGAGTTACGAACCCGGAAAAAAAGGAACAAAGTTACAAAGAGAGACTGAGAGAGAGCTCAGACTTAAGAGAGACTGAAAAAGCTTCTGTCTTCTGATTGTTGCCGTTGGTTGTAGAGCAGAGAGAGAGAGGGAGTAAGCTTGAGACTTGAGAGGCGAGGTTAATTAATAATTGTCCTAAATTTGCCCTAAATCTCATTGTTGCTGCATTTGCCCTATTTTATGTTATTTTTCAATGGCCCATCATTCTTGCTGCAATTGGAGGCTGGCCCATCATTCTTGCTCCATTTTGATGGCCTAAATTTGGAGGCGAGTTTTAATTGATACGGTTTGGTTATAAAATTTTTTTTTTTTTAGTGGCCCATCATTATTGAGTTCCCTTATTTGTTGCATTTTGGTTATAATTTTTTTTTTTTTCCGTTGCCCAACAATCATGGGCCTATCAAATTTGAGGCCACTGAAATGATTTGATGCATTTAGTTACAAATTTTTTTTTTTCTTTTGTAGCCCATCATACATGGGCCTATAAAATTTGAGGCCCCCAAAATTCTGAGGGCCTTGACTTGAAGGTCGTGACTCCTGAAATAGCCGTGAAGGTAAGAGTGCATGCATATGATGTCACAATGGTTGGATCTCGCGTACTCTAGCCAGGCTCTGTGTGAAAACCCAACTATCTCAAGCAGTATTGTATTTGACCACCAAGGCCAGTGGTGTATATCAGAAGTTAAAGATGTAGAAACCATTGAACAAGCAGAGAGCCTGTTGTATACATGAAACTCAAAGTCATGGCATGAACTTTATTATGTCTGCTTGCTGCTGCATTTATACACGACCACACGGTGAGGATGGGTGTGGTGGTGACTGCAGGGAGCTTGGCATTGGTGGTATTTGGAGGGGTTGGAGCTGTGCTGGGGAGGACTCCTATGGTGAAGTCCTGTGCTAGGGTGCTAATTGGAGGATGCATGGCCATCGCGATTACTTTTGGACTGACCAAGTTAATTGGCATTGGTGGATTGGAAATGTGATCATTATATTTTCCTTTTCATTAGTCTCTGGAAAATATGTAGTCCATGATGAAAGTTTGGTTTGTCAAATAAAAGCTATTCAATAAATGTAACAACTACATGTATTTGTGCGTATGCAGTATGCTAATTCCAAGGTACGTATTTATGTAAATATGTCTAGTAGCCAATGGTCCAGATGATAATCTCCCTCTCTAAAGAAGAGTTGAAGTTCGATCCCCACTAAGACAAAATTGCATGTGCATATGCGGGCAGTCGCTTTAACTTAAAAAAAAAAAAATTATCATACCTTCTAGTAGGTAAATACTGTTACATCTATGTTGGTCATTAGATGGAACTTATCTCACATCAGATTTAGATGGAGAATAATTTGGGCATATATGTTAGAGCGTGACTCGAACAATATTAGATTGCAGATTCTGGAGGAGTACGATAAGTCGCACTTTTGCGAACCTGCTGCACTTGTTGAAGAGTCAAAGACTGAGGTTCTGAGAATTCTAACCGGTCGAAAAATGCTTTGAGTAGGTGAGAGAGGACAGAGTGGGTGAGTGTAGAGAGATGTAGCCTCATGATGAATGAATAAGAAGAAGATTGATCCAGAAATGAGTTTAAATTAAGGAGACAAATTTTGAATTATTCACAACACACGGACTATAACATGATCTTCAAAATCATTTCTCTCAAGAAAAATTGTTTCAAAGCGGACCTAAATTATTAGAGAGAAAAATATGAAAAGTACAAAATACTACTAAAAATGATACATGTTAATCTTGATTGCTTCATCTTTCAAGGTGGTACCAATATTTGCAAGAAAAGAGGTTTTGATTTTCTTGAGTGTGGCCAAAGCATCAATCATATTGATCCTTTCCTTAGCTGAATCATTGGAACAATCCATGGCCAAACGAAAGATAGATGATGCACAGTCCACCTTAGCAGAGAAATTTTCATCATCTCTTTTTATCATATTGGTGTCCACAATTTCAATTATCGAACCCTTTAATGCTTCTTTCACCCAACGCTTCAAGCTCACCTCTCCGGCAAACATTTCATCAGTCGGCTTCTTCCTTGAAAATGTTTCCATCAACAAGATACCATAGCTATAGACATCACATTTTGTTGATACTCTTCCTTCAATTCCATACTCTATTCATCACATCAACATTATTAATTAGAAAAAAAAAACAATGAAAAAAGATTATAATCAAGGAAAAGGACTATACAAGTTCATAAAATAAATAGGAAAAGCTGAAAATTGAATTAACAAACATCACCTGGTGCCATATACCCGATTGTTGCCAAGGTCATGGTTTGTACCATTAGATCTCCTTCACCTAAGAGTTTTGCAATCCCGAAATCAGCAACACGTGCAACCATGTCTTCATCAAGGAGGACATTGCTCGGTTTCAAATCACAGTGAATAATAGGTGTTGCATGATCATGATGTAAATATTCTAATGCAAATGCAACATCTATCATTATGTTTAACCGTTGTAGAATGTCCAAACAATAGTTGTGAGAATACAACCACTCCTCGAGACTCCCATTAGGCATGTACTCTAGTATCAAGGCTTTGAAATCCATGTTGCTGCAACTGCTGATGATTTTAATTAGGTTCCGATGACGAATGTTGCGCATTACTTCGCACTCGGCATCGAAACTCTTGAAAGCTCCTTCTAGTTGCAAATTGAATACCTTCACCACGATATTCATCCCATCCAAAAGCGTTCCTTTATATACTGAACCATAACTTCCCATGCCTATTAGGTTGGTTTCACCAAATGCTTTTGTCGCTTGTAAAAGTTCCTGATACGAAACCTTTTTCCATGCAAAAGGTGATATATCTTTCTCGGTATGCAATTCGATCTCTTGTTTTCGATATATTTTCAACAAAAATATGAGGGCTATAACAAGAAATGCTAATGCAATCGAGGGTAAAATAAATTTCAAAACGGGTACAATTTTCAACCTTGATCGCCCATTCTTGTTGGTTTTACAAGGGGGAACTTGCAATCGGGGTTCACCACAAAGTGCATCATTATGCAAAAATGACCGAGCTGTAAAGTTTGCAAAATGTCCTCCAGTAGGAATTTCTCCTTGCAGTCTATTGAAAGACACATTCAAATATTCGAGATACCTGAGTTCCTCTAAGGACTTGGGAATTTTTCCAGACAAATTGTTACTAGATAGATCCAATAATTCCAAGCTTACAAGGTTGCCGAGTGATCGAGGAATAGGTCCTTGTATTTTATTATGGGACAACGAGAGAGAAACTAACGACTGAGCTCCTCCGATGGTGTTTGAGATTGTACCTGATAATTGATTCCTTGACAAATCAATTAGGGTTATGACCTTCAAGTTTCCGACATACAATGGTAGCTCACCAGTTAGAAAGTTTGAGGATAAGTTAAGACCCAAAAGGTCTTCAAGGCTCCACAAGTTTGACGGTACCTTGGAACTTAATCTATTGGAGTCAAGGTAGAGCCATCTTAGAGATTTAAGCTCACCCAAGCATGTCGGAATCTGTCCATACAACATATTAGCACTCACAGACAAATCTCCCAATTTCCCCAACCGACAGAGGTCACCTGGGATGGATCCTTTCAATGCATTGTTTTGAAGATGCAAACGTACAAGATTTTGTAATCTCTCTAGTGATTTTGGAATTGGTCCAGTCAAATGGTTGCTTCCTAATCGTAGGATTACCAAGTTGCTCAAATTGCCGATTCCACTGGGAATGTTGCCCCTAATTTTGCAGCCAAATGCATCAAACACTAGTAGTCTAGTAGACAAATTCCCGACAGACATTGGAAGTATGCCGTTTAGTGGATTTAATGATATGCGCAAGACCTCCAATTGTCTACAATTTGTTAAAGAAGAGAAAATTCTCAACTCTGGAGTAGAAGATTCCCCCTTCAAACTATTTGTATGAAGGAAGAGCTTCCACAAGAGTGTTAAACTACCAAGTGTGTTGGGTATAGATCCAGTGAATGAGTTCATGCTCATGCTAATGATGGTAAGCTTAGAAGCATTAGAGATAGAGCTCGGAATTGTTCCGCTGAGTTTGTTCATGATTAGATAAAGCTCTTCAAGATTTGGAAGCCAAAACCCCATGTCCAAAGGAAGATTGCCAGAAAAGTTATTAAATCCCAGGTTAAGGATTTTCATTGTTGACACATTGAATATTTTGAATGGAATGGTGCCAGTTAAGGTGTTTCCATAGACATCAAGTGTCTGGAGATTAAGGTTACCAATCTCATCTGGTAAAGTACCTGCCATTCACAACATGAACACCCTAGCATTATTAATCAAGCTTTAAGTCTAAATCAGAGAGAGTATAAATCAAGATAGCCTTTTATAGAAGGGATCAAATGAATATAATTGAATTGTGAAAGAGTACTAACCACAAATATTGGAAAAAATCAAATTTGCATAACTACATATATCTATTTATAGTTATCATTGTATTATACTTGTATCAAACTATTCCCAAATATGTTATTTATGAGTCATTATACATATAGTTTAGTCCTTTTATATGGTTTCAAAGTAGAAAATCCACCCCTTATCTACCAAATATATCTATGTTTTTGGTTTTATTTTTTATTCCCTTTTCAACCAAAAATCTAGGGACGTCCAATAAAAATTTAAAACGCATTTTTTCTATTTTTATTTGGACTCTCTTGTCTATAAAAAGTCTTCTTTTCTCCAGCTTTACACGTATTAGAAAGACATATTTATCTTTAATTCTTAGAGCTTTGTAATGAATTTTTGTGACAAAAGAATCAACCAATTTTCGAAATTGATTTTCTTTATTGGAGAGCACAAATACATATGAGTGATGTTAGGAAGATGTTCTCTATTTGATCAACACTATCGAGACATCTATGGATTATTTTGTTCGATTAGCGCAGGATTTTCTTTTTCCTTTCAACTTCGTGATTAAAAGGAAAGTGATCCACTTACTACGAAAGGGGATAAAGGGCTCTACAAGCAACTCTTGTGCAAGAATTGAGGAATAAGACTGCAGTCCCAACAACTTGATGAGGAGTTGTAGGAGTCGGTATGGGACGTTCAGCTACTAGTTCTTAGTTAAGTGGAGTAGATGAGAGGCTCAAACAAGGTATGTACAACACTGCTTTGAGATATTGGATTGATTTGGGAGAGACTACTAGATTTCATAGTTTTTTCCTTGCCGAGGTTCTTCCACATAAAAAATTTCCTGATGTCATCTCTAACTTTATTTACTTTACTAATATTTTTTTATTATTATTTTGTGATTGGTTAGCTTTAATTCAATAAAATAAAAATAATGTAAATCTAAAAGTTTTCTAAAGTGTAAACTAAACCTATTCACCACCCCTAGGTCTTTTTTCTGAGATCAAACTAAACATATTCAACACCCCTAGGTCTTTTTTCTGAGATGTCTTCTGTCTGAGATCAAACTTTTCACATACACCACTTCCACACTGTGTAACTCATAATTTTGATACTCACAAGTAAATTTAGAGCACCCTTTATATATAACAAAAAATAAAATAAAATAAAATCTTCCCATAGACACTCATTGAAAAAAATAATAAAATAGAAAAGAAACCTACAGGGCATATATATAATTATATATAACCAGTGATATGCATGATATATGGTTGAACAATTATCTAGCTGGCAAGGGAAACTCCTATACAAGTTCACCAATTTTCTATTATTTTTATGGAATTTCCTCTTCACAGAAAGTATATATCAAAACTACTAAATCGACAGTTAGATATTAACTTAAATCCATACCTTTCAAGTTGTTTTCACGAAGATATAACTCCTTGAGCATGGTTAGGTTGGCAATTTCTTTACGTATGCCACCATTAAAGCCATTGAATGACAGTGATAAAACTTGGAGCTCCCGGCATTTGTATAAATCTGATGGAATATGCCCTTGAATCTGATTCAAATAGAGATAGAGTCTAGCAAGTTTAGGAAGATGGTTGCACATGTCTACAGGCAAACTTCCAGACAGGGTATTGTTTGAGAAATTAATTATTCTCAAAGATGAAATGTTGAAGATTGAAGATGGAATGGACCCTGTTAGAGAGCTGCCGATTAAGTTCATTACTTCCAAACGTTCAAGATTACCTATCTCTGATGGAATTATACCTGCATAGTTGTCAGAAGGAACACATATATAATTTTCTCCCTTGTTATACTAATATGCTTGTAATTAATATATAATTGTGTAATAATAACAATTGGTCACACAAGAGTACCGAGTTAAATCATATGAATAACTTGTTTTGATGCTCACGGGTAAATTTTGGACACCCTTTACATATAACAAAAAAATGAAAACAAAATCCTCACATGAAAAAAAAAAAAAGAAACTTACAAGACTTATTTAGCTAGTGGTTTGAATGATATGGTTGACCAATTAGCTAACAAGGGAATCTTCTAAGAAAGTTTATCAATTTTCCATTCTGCTTATGGAATTTCTTTTCTACAGAGTATATATATATATATATATATATATACACACACACACACACTACTAACTTGTGACTTAGATTTGTAATTAAAACCATACCTTTCAAATTATTTCTACCAAGATATAACTCCTTGAGCATAGTCAAGTTGCCAATTTCTCTAGGTATGCTGCCATTGAAATCATTGAACGATAATGATAGATATTGGAGATCCCTGCATTTGCCTAAATTGGATGGAATTTGCCCATGAAGCTTATTCCGTGAAAGATAAAGTACTCCAAGTTTAGGAAGATGGATGCACATATCTACCGGCAAACTTCCAAACAAACTATTGTTTGAGAGTTCAATTATTCTTAGCAAAGATATGTTGAAGATTGTAGATGGGATGGACCCTATTAGAGAGCTATTGACTAAGTTCAATACTTTCAAATGTTAAAGATTACCAATCTCTGATGGAATTACACCTGCGAAGTTGTCAAAAGCAACACATATAACAATTGTTCACACAAGAGTACCAGTTATGATGATATGAATACCTTATTTTGAAGCTTAAAGTTAAAACTAGAACACCCTTTAAATATCAAATAAAAAATGAAAACAAAACCATCACATTTGCACTAAATTGAAAATAAAAATAAAGCTAATAATTAGCTAGTAAAGGAAATTCCTATGTAAGTTTATTAATTTCTATTTTGCTTCTGGATTTTCTTATCTACAAAAGGTATACATAAAGATTACCAACTCCTGAGTTAATTAGATGTGAACTCAAAATCATACCTTTCAAGTTGTTTCTACCAAGATATAACTCCTTGAGTATAGTCAGGTTGCCAATTTCTCTAGGTATGCTGCCATTAAAGCCATTGTCTGACAGTGATAAATCTTGGAGCTCCTTGCATTTGTATAAATTAGATGGAATATGCCCTTCAAGCTGATTCCAAGAGAGATTAAGTCGTCCAAGTTTAGGAAGATGGTTGCAGATATCGAAAGGCAAACGTCCAAACAGACGATTGTTTGAGAAATCAATTATTCTCAGAGAAGAAGTATTGAAGATTGAAGATGGGATGGACCCTGTTAGTGTTATGAATGATATGGTTAAAAAATTAACTAGCAAGAGAAACTCCAATACAAGTTTATCAACATTCCATTCTGCTTATGGAATTTCCTCTCCGCGAAATATATATATATATATATATATATATATATATATATATATATTTATTTATTTATATATATATATATAAGACTAATTACTTGTTAGTTAGATATGAACTTAAATTACCTTCCAAGTTGTTCATTCCAAGATATAACTCATTGAGCATAGTAAAGTTGCCAATTTCTCTAGGTATGCTGCCATTGAAGTCATTGAATGACAATGACAAATATTGGAGCTTCCTGCATTTGTTTAAATGGGATGGAATTTGTCCATGAAGCTGATTCCGAGAAAGATAGAGTCCTTCAAGTTTAGGAAGATGGATGCACATATCTATAGGCAAACTTCCAGACAAACTATTATTTGTGAAACCAATACTTTTCAAAGAAGAAATGTTGAAGATGAAAGATGGAATGGGGCCTGTTAGAGTGCCATTTTGAAAGCCCAATATTTCCAGACGTGTGAGATTACCCATCTCCAAAGGAATTACACCTGTAAAGTAGTTAAAGGAACACATATATAATTTTCTTCCTTGTTGTACTAGTATGTTTGTAATGAATATATAATTATGCAATTAAAACAAATTTTTTTTTTTTTTTCAATAATTGGGATGTCGAAGGCTTTTCCCCGATTAATTCACAGGACACCTACAAGCTTCTCCGGGTTCGGGTAAAGCTTGGACTATATCTGTAGGTGTGACCCTAAAAAATTATTTGCAATTATGAGGAATCGATCTTGAGATATGATGATATGAATACTTATAGAACACCCTTTTACCTATAACAAAACAAAAACAAACAAAAAAATTAAAGAAGGAAACTTACAAGTCCTATCAATCGATCTAGTGTTATGCATGATATGGTTAAGCAGTTAGCGAGGGAAACACCTTCAATAAAAGGTATATATCAAAACTACAAACTCTTGGGTCAGATGTGCACATAAAATCATACCTTCCAAGTTGTTATTACCAAGATATAACTCCTTGAGCATAGTCACTTTGCCAATATCTCTAGGTATGCTGCCATTAAGGCCATTGAATGACAATGACAAATATTGGAGCTCCCTGCATTTGTATAAACTGGATGGAATTTGTCCATGAAGCCGATTCCGAGAAAGATAGAGTCCTTTAAGTTTAGGAAGATGGATGCATATATCTACCGGCAAACTTCCAGACAGACTATTATTTGTGAAATCAATACTTTTCAAAGAAGAAATGTTGAAGATGAAAGATGGAATGGGGCCTGTTAGAGTGCCATTTTGAAAGCTCAATATTTCCAGACGTAAAAGATTACCCATCTCAAAAGGAATTACACCTGCAAAGTAGTAAAAAGGAACACGTATATAATTTTCTCCCTTGTTGTACTAATATGTTTGTAATGAATATATAATTACGCAACAGAAACAAATATTTTTTTTTTCAATAATTGGACCCCTACAAGCTCTTCCGGGATCAGGTAAAGCTTAGACTATATCTATAGGCGTGGCCCTAAAAAATTGTTTGCAATTAGAAGGAATCAATCATGAGACCTGGTGATATGAATACTTATAGAACACCCTTTTACATATAACAAAACAAAAACAAACTAAAATGTAAAGAAGGAAACTTACAAGTCCTGCCATTCGATCTAGTGTTGTACATGATATGGTTAAGCAATTAGCGAGGGAAACACTTTCAATAGAAGGTATATATCAAAACTACAATCTCTTGGGTCAGATGTGCACATAAAATCATACCTTCCAAGTTGTTATTACCAAGATATAACTCCTTCAGCATAGTCACTTTGCCAATATCTCTAGGTATGCTGCCATCAAGGCCATTGAATGACAATGACAAATATTGGAGCTCCCTGCATTTGTATAAATTGGATGGAATTTGTCCATGAAGCCGATTCCAAGAAAGATAGAGTCCTTCAAGTTTAGGAAGATGGATGCACATATCGACTGGCAAACTTCCAGACAGACTATTATTTGTGAAATCAATACTTTTCAAAGAAGAAATGTTGAAGATGAAAGATGGAATGGGGCCTGTTAGAGAGCCACTTTGAAAGCTCAATATTTCCAGATGTGGAAGATTACCCATCTCCAAAGGAATTACACCTGCAAAGTAGTTAGAAGGAACATATAAATAATTTTCTCCATTGTTGTGCTAGTATGTTTGTAATGAAAATATAATTACGCAATAAAAACAATTTTTTTGATAATTGGGATGTCCAAGGCTTTTCCCTAACTAATCCACAGGACCCGTACAAGCTCCTCCGAAATCAGGTAACTATATCTGTGGCTTGACCCATAAGAAATTGTTTACAATTAGGAGGAATCAATCCTGAGACTTGAATTCCTTGTTTTGATGCTCACAAGTAATTATAGTATACCCTTCACATATAACAAAAAGAAAAACAAACTCAAAAATAAATAAGGAAACTTACAAGTCCTATTGATCGGCCTAGTGTTATGCATGACATTGTTAAACAATTTGTGTGGGAAACACCTTCTATAGAAGGTGTGTGTGTGTGTGTGTGTGTATATATATATATATATATATCAAAACTACAAACTCTTGGGTCAGATGTGAAGGTAAATCATACCTTTCAAGTTGTTATTACCAATATATAACTCCTTGAGCATAGTCAGTTTGCCAATTTCTCTAGGTATGTTTCCATCAAAGCCATTGAATGACAATGACAAATATTGAAGCTCCCTACATTTGTATAAAGTGGATGAAATTTGTCCATGAAGCCGATTCCGAGAAAGATAGAGTCCTTCAAGTTTAGGAAGATTGTTGCACATATCTATTGGCAACCTTCCAGACAAACTATTGTTTGTGAAATCAATTCTTCTCAAAGAAGAAATGTTGAAGATGGTAGATGGTATTGCACTTGTGAGCTTGTTGTTTTGCAAATGGATTTCTTTGAGTCGATGCAAACGAGCCAACTCCTTGGGTATATTTCCATTGAAATTGTTATCGCGGATATCAAGTGATACTAGAAATGAGAGATTTCCAAGATGTGGAGCGATAGTGCCTTGGAGACCAAAATGAGAGACATTCAAGGCCGTGACCCTCACGTGGGTGAGACCACAAGAGACACCAATCCAATTGCAAACTGAGGTAGTGGAGGACCAATTACTTGCCAATACATGTTGAGGGTCATAAGTGATTAGAGTTTTGAAGGCAAGAAGAGAAAATTGGTCGGTGGTTAAGTTTGTGATGGAGCTAGACAAGCAAACCATGAAACAGTTTACCAGTAAGGAGATGGACAAGAGGAAGCAATTAGTCTTCTCCATGGTAAATTACTATGTATTAATGGAGTTGTGTGTGTATAGCAAATTACAAGGATGGATGGGTTAGCGGGATTTATATAAGATGGTGAAAAGAAATCAAGCACAGCATATAATCAACCAAACAACGTTCGAAAGTTCTTGTGGGGTTGCCTAAATAATACGTGTGAACACTTGCAAGGTCTCACTTGTAAAGGACACCTTGTGTGAAGCTATCTTTAAATCTTTAACTAACTCATACGTGTGAACACTTGCATGGTCTCACAAGTGTGTGAAGCTTTCTTTAAATCTTTTTGACGAAAGCATAACGTGCAATGACCAAGGATATGTTTATCTATTTCTTTGTCTTTTTCTTTTTGACTATTTCAAAGAGGACATTTTTTAAAGAAACAAAAATTAAAGATATTTTTCAAAACAAAGTAATAAATTAAAATATACATCTATATATATATATATATATATATATTGATTGATAATATTTTTATTTATAACATTTACAATTGTTCTTGATGATTTTTTTATATTAAGTGAGATATTCATACAAAATTGAAGAAAAAAGTTGTGTGCATTGAAGTAACACAACTATGCCAAATAAAACAAATTTAAATGTGTGTTTGTATTATAGTTAGGATATATCTTATTTTTGTATACATAAATTACAGGACTTTCTTATGATTTGTCATAATTATAAATTTTTTTTTTATGATTTGAGAAATTCCTCGAACCTCTTTTGAGAAGGATCTAACTTACACGGAACTCTCTTCTCTTATAGCCAATGCGAGTCAATGATGAATTTTACTAATGTTTTCATTAAGGAAATTTTGAAAGAATTACCAAAATACTTCATCCCTACCAATATAACCATTGTTACATAGACCTGCTCAAGAGACCCAAACCGAAAAAGCTTGCTAAATCTTCTTGAAGACTCAACTGAGCATTCAAACCAAAAAGCCACAGTGACCAAACCTGTGGCACCCATGAGCTTCATTCAACCATATATTGTTTCTCGTGAAATACAGCCCTCACTCCGGCGAGCTTCAGTCCAGTCCGACGAGTAGTACAGGTTGCCAAAAATAGATATAGAGAGCTCGATTTGGCACAAAACTCTCATCACTCTCATCCATGGAAGTCGATATGGGGCAACTATTATGATTTATTTAGATCAGAGTAATTTAACAAACCATATGGGAGGTCCTTATAATTATGACAAAGAAAGTTAGTGTAATTTATTCTTTTAGTGTATACTATTAAAATTTTTCTAATAAGCCAATTTAATTAAAACCCCTGCTTGAAATAATTTAAAATTTAACGAGTGAAACTTATTTTTGTATTAAAAACATGAACTATTTTTAGGTAGGTTCTCCAATCAAAAATTAAATTTTGTAAAGTTAAATAAAATAAATAAGGAATTGTGCGCTTTATATTACGAGTCTTCACCTTTTTATAACTAGTGTATATTCATGATTTTCATGTATCATATACATTAAAACAGTCTAAAGAGAAGTAGACAAATTTTTTTTAGGTTTTTTTTTTTTCTTTTTTCTTGAATAAAAAAAATAGCTGAAAGAAGGCCGTGTAGCATAGGAAAACGGAGGATTAAAGATGGAGATATGGAGTGTCCAATGATGAGAGAGAAGGAGAATTGAAAATTGAAGTAAAAATTAGAAGTATGGGACAATTTTAGAATATATAAAGTTCTATATATACAAAATAGAAGTATAAAAAACAATTAAAGGGAGCAGTTTTGAATTTTTAAAATCTATACATACAAAAACCAAATATAAAATAAGAGAGGAGTTTAGGTCATATGCAAAAATATCAGTAGGGACAAATTTAAATATTAATTTTTTTTCATAATTTTAGTGTGGGCAAATTCAAAATTATACATAATTTATAGGCAAATAATACAAATACAAATTAAAAGTTCATATCAAACTTTTTATAAATGTGTTCTAAAAAAGGGTTTATATACCCACACCATCCAATTAAATAATAGGAGTAACAAAGTAATGTTCATAAAACTTTGTGATACATCTAATTTCTAGAAGATCGTTATATAATTTAAAATTTTGAGTTATTTCTAATCCTCTGTGGCTTCTTTATAGACTTTTTTGTTCTTCTGTTTAGTTTTGTACAGGAATAATAACAAGCAAGGCTTGGTGCATTACTTTGCCCTTGTAGTAAATATTTTTAGTTAAAACACTGATAGAGAGGGTGGGGGCAGCGAAGAGGTAGTGATAAAGCGGAAGTGTGAAAATGACAAAATTAATCTACATCGTACAAAATAATAGCATATGTGCCGACTGTAAGAATAGTATCGGAAGAAACATAAGAGCAACAATTATTTATAAGAATTGTGTGACTTAATTTTGAGGACTACATTTTTTTTTTTTTTTTTCTTTTTTCACATTAATTTAATATTTATTTATTCGGTCTTAGTATAGACTTCATGGCCAATAGCCCTACATTTAACCAAAGCAAAAGGCCAACTGACTTAAAGGGAAAAAAGACACTTTATTTTTCTTTGGAATAATTAATTTATAATGTCACATATCAGCTTTTTTGAAGCCCAGTCTCTACTACTTGTTGAATTGACCAGTCTAGTTCCCATTTGCAACTATTACTTTTCATGATCCGACGTTCTTGCATGCATTTCACGAGTCAATTAAGAAATATTAACCCAAAACAAAGATTTTCTTACTACTTTTTGGAAATATAAATCTGAATTTTTTTTCATATTTTGGTACAAGAGAACATATAATCAATTTCTAGTTCTGCTTCATACTAATAAAAATTTTCCCATTAACTGAAAAATAATAATAAAAGTTTTCTGGGACACAAATCTCAAAATTTCATTGGTTGAAAAGTTTTCTTAATTTGTGATGGTTTTTCTTTTAAAACAATATATATATTATTGCACTTTCAACTTGCAAAAGTATAACGAAAGGGTCTCAATCCCAATCATATAACACTCGTCATCAAAGAGGGAGGATATAAGTGAGCAAAAATGTATATTTACTTTACTATTAAAAAATTAAATGAATAAATAAATGCAACAGTATGACTTTGCATGACTGGGAAAGACTAAAGTCGAGTCAAGAAGAAGAGACCACAGAATTAAAATGACTAAATGTAGGCTATATAGCATTACTTGACGACTGGGCTTTTACTTCCGCCAAGAAGAAGAGACCACAGAATTAAAATGACTAAATGTAGGCTATGTAGCATTACTTGACGACTGGGCTTTTACTTCCGCCAATTGTTATGTGTCTCCACCTATCATTCGCTTTAACCAAAGTGACCAAAAAAAAGCCCTTCTGAGAAAAGACCAAAAGTTTAAAGGAATAAAACACACATAGAAAAGATGATATGTTTACACACTGCGTCCAGTGTATTGTGTATCAGATAAGGGCAGATTCAGAAATTGACAGCGATATGGTGGGTTAATAATTCTTTGGATGGATTAATATTAAATTGATAGCGATATAGGCGGGCACGTGTTGTGCATGTACGGCTTGGATGAGTTTGGTGCATAGTATGTCAGGCGCATCCAATACCTTCTCGTAGGATTTATTTTATTGGGTATGCTGTGCACGCTATTTCATTAGTGTACACACCCAATCAAACATAACATATTACAACTTTACAAGTGGGAAAGCCAATTTTTTTTGAAATAGTGCATCATGTAACTCATGTTATAACTTGTCATCAGCAATTTTAGAAGTAGTTAGGTAGACCAACATTTTTTGAAATAGTGCATTGTCATTAGATTAGATTGGTACATTAGTGACATAGCTTGGATAACGCACCAAATATCTACTCTCTACTCTTATTTGGGAGACTGCAAATGAAAGAACCCAAGACATTTGAAGGCTTTGTTCACATAACACATCAACAAAATTAAATTCCATAGTTCCGAATGGCTAGACAAAAATTACGATGGAAAATGAAAGGATTAATATGAAAGCAAATAAAAAATGATTCTATTTTTCAAAATTACTCTTATGATTTCAAATACTATATATATATATATATATATATATATTGTGTTAGATGAATCTTCTTTATATCTGATTGTTTATATTATTTTTAGCAAATAAATAGTAAAATGATAGATTTTTCAAAATAATAATATAATTATTTATATTCATATTTAATTTGTTTATATTTAAAATAAGGTTTCATAAATACAGAAAGAAAGGAGGTTTTTGACGCCTTTAGAAATTAAATGCATACTAGAATTGAATTGTTACTTCCTTTGCTACAAACTTTTACACTTGACATAAAGTGCATTTGTTTGTATGTGTCAAAAGAAGATGCAATATGTTGGCGGATAAGAGAGATTTATGGGATTTGTTTTATTTATGGGTTGATATTGGGAGCCATTAGTGATAGTTTCCTTATATCGTGATCCCTAATTGATATCACTGATTCTTTGCTTAACTGGGGATTTGCCTGGATTTGCCTTAATTAGAATAATATTGAATTGAGGATTTTTCTTAATTAGAACAACATTGTAACTACTTATTGTGCTAATGTGATCTTTGTTGAGACATACTGAATAAGAAGAATTCTCATCTCTTCTCCCGTGAATGCAAGTCCTAGTGACTGAATCGCGTAATATTATTGCGTTCTTCTTCTCTTTTCCATCTTATATTATTCTATATGGTATCAAAGCAGGTTCTTTCGATTTGATTCTTCATTGAGTAAGTTGTTGTGTCGTTTGTTGTTTTCTATGCGCCTTCACGGAAAATGCGATAACTTTCAAACCAAACTCGGAATTGCGCAAAGCCAGCGTGGTTGGAACCATATCATTCATGGCGAGCTAAATATCTTTCGGGCTATATTTGAGATTGTTTGAGGGATCAAAATCGACTTCGAAGTCAATGGTTCAATTTTTTGCCCTAAAGTTCGTATAGAAGAAATTTTTTCTGTTCTTTTCTGATCGAGTTCTTTTTTGTTCTGATTGTTTCTTCACCCTTAATCAATGGAAGAATCATACACTA